TGACGATGCTGATGATGATGACGATGAAGATGGCGATGATGATGCTCCTGATGATGATGATGACGATGAGGATGGTGATGAGTATCATGCTGACGATGCTAATGATGATGACTATGATACTGATGATGGTGCTAAGCATGATGATGATGATGATGATGAAGATGATGAGAATGATGATGGCGCTGAAGAATGACGATGATGATGATACTGATAATGATGATGACGATGATGATGATGATGCCGCTGCTGCTTATGACGATAAGGGTGATGGTGATGATCATGCTGCTGATACTGATGATTATGGTGACGGTGATGGTGGTGATGCTGATGCTGATGGTGTTGATGCTGTTGATGATGATGATAATGATGATGATGATGAGTATGCAGATGATGATGGTAATGATGCTGATGATGACGCTGATGATGATACTGATGATCCCGATGATGGTGATGCTGTCGATGATGATGATGATGATGTTGTTGTTGATGATGATGATGATGATGATGGTGATCCTAATGATGAGTAGGGTGTTGATGATGATGATGATGGTGTTGACGATGCGATGATAATTACGAAGGAAATTCTGATTCTGTGTATGATTTTGAAGATGCGATAATGGTGATGACGATGATGATGACGACGATGAGGAGGTGGGTGTTGATGGCAGTGACGATGATAATGACGATGATGGTGATGATGGTGATAAGGATGGTGATGACGATGACGATGATGATGCTGGTGATGATTACGGTGACAATTATAATGAGAATGATGATGATGATGATGATGGTGATGATGGTGATGATGATGATGATGATAAATGATGGTGGTGGTGAAGACGATGAGAACCTTGGTAGGCCACAATGTCTGCCTGGCTCGTTCCAGCCTCGCCGCGGCCGGGTGGGGCCAACACAGCCGTGCGCGAGCGCGCGACCGCACGGCTCGAAACGTCAGCTACCCGGGTCCTCTCCCGCTGAGGAACCTTTCGATGCGGTGCGACGTATTGCAGGCGACGATGTTGTCCTGCACGCAGTCGATGAGCAGCGCCCGCACTTCTGGCAACCGATGCCGCCGCCACCGACGAGCGCGCTGTGGCCTTTGGCGGGTGCCGACGTGACGACCGCCCCGATGGCCTCGGACGGCGGCGCGGTGGGCGGGGCACGCTCAATCACCGACCTCATGCCTCCTCTCCACTGCGCCTGGCCGCGCCAGAAGCGTCAGGAGGCTCTGCCGCTGCAGAAGTCTCACGATTTTCCTTCTCGGCGGTCAGGTGGTTGCCATGCAGTGCCGGATTGTTGATCCACCTCCTGGGAGCCCTGTGGATTATGGCGGCGACGTGCCTCTGCACTCTGCTGAGGGTCTACAGCCAAGCAAGGAAACGCCTGTGGTGCCGCACGCCGCGCCGCCATGCCCTTGCGCAGATCTCTCGCCAACTCGTCTGCAGTCGCAGACCTCCCGCGCCATTCTCAAGCGTTCCGCGAGGCCCGTGCCGTCCTAGAACGGGGTGTCAGAGACTGCCACGGCGCGAGATGTGTTTGAGGACGCATGGCATGCACCACCTGCGCTAATCGAAGCTGTCGCTTGGGGCTATCTGCGCCGCCCTCGGGTCATGGAACCACGACCTGGACCGCATCCTCGGCGCTCTTGGCGGCCACCTGCGGGCCGCGCCGGCTACGTCGGGGCGGTCCGCAGAGCTGGCTGACATGGTCGCGTCGTCCTCCCACGCGTCGACGTGCGCCTCTGCGCCGTTGGACTGGGGGGGCCTTTCGGCTGCAGGCGCGTTCCGCTGCCGGCCGTTGCGCGCCGATCTGGCGTGCCCGCAGCTGCATTCCCGACCGCGCCTTGTGGCCTCCCCCGCGCAGCGCCGTCCACGTCGCGGCCGCCTCGAGTCGCGTATTCTCGCGCCACTCCCCAGCGCCCGAGATGCACGGGGCGGGCGTTGCGTCGGGGCCGTCGGGCCGCCGCAGCTGCTTCCCCGACCGCGCCGCCGCGCGAGGGCCCCCGTCACTGACCTCGAGCGTGGCTGCCGCGGCCATCGCTCTGACGTTGCACCAGTGCCGCCCCGTCGCCTTCGCCCACATATTGGACTTGGCGACCCAGTCACTCGCCAAGCATATCCTTACTTGTGCAACACACAAACATTCTGTTTACACCCGCCTCAGGCTCGCGTGGCAACGACTAAGCCGCGCCAGGGTCGCCGAGAAGCAATTGACTGCGCAACTTCCTTTGGTCTCCTTTCTGGTCTAGGACAAAGTATGCCCACTCTTTCGGGCACCCCTGGTCCAGTCCGTCTCCAACGTTTCTGCCCCTTCTTTCGTGACACCGCCGGCAACCGCGGCTAAGCCGGGTGCCTGCCCCATTTGCATTGAGCGGACTCTAACCACGGCCCAGGGGTGTGAGCCGCCTGACCCCTGCGTTAGGCGCTCGTGGATAATCAGAGCGCACCTGCGACACCCCCCTTCTGGTAAAGCCACATGCGAGCTCCTGGAGAGACTTTCGGCTGATAGCCAGTCGCTCGCCAAGCATACTCCGTGTCCCTCAACAGTTTTGGGGGTACCCGTAGTCCGGGGGGGTACCCATAGTCTGGGGGGGGGTATTTGTAGTCCGGGGGGGGTACCTGTATTAGTCCTGGGGGGGTAATTGTAGTCCGGGGGGGGGGACCTGTAGTCCGGAGGGGGGGTACTTCTGTTGCGTTTCTCTCCCTATCTGTTTTTTTGTTTCTCTCTCTCTCTCTCTATTTGTTCGTCCGTTCCCCTGTTTATTTTTCTGTTTCTTTGTAGATATATCGTTCCGTTCCTCGTAATCTTCTCGTTTCCGTGCCCACTCGTCCGTCGAGAGTGTTCAGCCCCGACAGCTGGCCCAACGATGGCGACTTTCTTAGCACGGCTAAATGAAAATGTGCGGACGCATCTTGGCGGGCCGCTTTGACTTCCAGAGACTACGTAGCGAACGCGGGGGGGCTTGTAGTTCTGGGGGCTAGGGGGGTACCTGTAGTCCGGGGGGGGGGTACCTGTAATCCGGGGGGGGTACTTGTAGTCCGGGGGGGGTACTTGTAGTCCGGGGGGGGTACCTGTAGTCCGGGGAGGGGGTACCTGTAGTCCGGGGGAGGGGTACTTGTAGCCCCGGGGGTACCTGTAGTCCGGGGCCCCAAAACTATTGAGGGACACGGAGTAACCGTACTAGTGCAACGTACAAGGCATTCTTTGTACACCCGCCCCAGGCTCGCGCAGCAACGGCTGAGCCGCGCCAGGGTCGCCAAGGAGCAGTTGACTGCGCAACTTCCTTTGGTTTCCGCTCTGGCCTAGGACTGAGTGCAGTAGGGGCCCGACCACAAGAAACCTGCCAAAGGAAACCCAACCCTGAGACCCAAGGGCATCCACTGATTCTTGGTGTGGGAACGTCACGCTCTCCACTGCAGAACCATCGAAAACCAAGAAACCTAGGGCACCATGGAGGCAAGCAGGGAGTTTCTTGGCATGGGCCCCCATTGTATGCCCACTTCTTCGGCCACCCCTGGTCCAGTCTGTCTCCAGCGTTTCGGCGCGTGGTTGGCGATCCTCTTCAGGACCTGCCACAACCAACCACACGGGGCAGGCCGACGCTGTCACGAACGACGCCTCTGTTTCCGACTGTGCGAAAACACAGCGCGTACCTCTTGAATGCAAAGGCACACGTATCTGGCTGAATTCTGGGACACCTGCGTACACACCAAAATTGCGAGAAGATGTCAAGCGAGGCTCTGAGAACTTGCTGTTTTGGCCCTCAAAGACGGGAGGAAACAACTGATCCTCCTGCGCTGGCTGCATCTCCAGGCGTCGCCGTTCGGGCGCGTGGCGCGGAAGGCATCTTCTTGCGGCCTCGCGGGCACGAAGGGCGACCGCGTCTGCGGTGGGTGCGCTCTGCTATTCGCGCCGCGGCCTCGCCCTCGCCCCCGCGCCCGATTTTTCTGCGTGGATGGCCCGCTGTCAGCCTTGAGCGCTCCGCTGGCCAGCCTCGCGCTGGCGCTGGCGATGCGACGCGCTGCCTGCCCGAAGTGCCCGAGCTTCGTCTGGGCTTGCTTGAGCAATGGGCCTCCGACGTCGCGGTCAAATTGCGGCAAGTTCTCTCGCCGTCGCTGACGAAGATCCACCCCGTCGCCGTTGCCGCCGTGATGGCCGCGCCGGTGGTCCCCGCGGCATTCCCCCACGGGCTGGCTGCCGCGCGTTGTCGCTGGCGTTGCTTCCTCCGCGCTGCCTGTCGCGCGGGAGCTGCCGCGTGCCATTTTGTGAGTGGCAAAAACGAGGTGGTCCTGCCCAGGCCCGCCACCTGCAGGTCGCTGGCGCAATCCAAGACGGCGATGATCAATTCTGAGGCTATCGGGGGGGCGCGCCCTCGCGCCTCCCGCAGGATCGGCTGCGCCTGCCTCGCGACGACGGGCGGTAAACCAGCCGCTTCCAGGTTGCATTCCATGGCCGCCGGATTCACCGCCCGAGCTTGCCCGAGCCTCGCCCCACAGTGCGAAGGTTGTCGAACGCGCCGCAGCCTCGCATGCAGTCCGGAGGAGTCTCTCGCGGATCGTGACCTACCCGAGCGGCTGCCCCGCGCTGATCTCCACGCCGCGGACGCCCATCGAGTCGGCGCACCTCTGACCGCATCCTGTGAGCAGGGCTGCAGTGCGCGGTCCGCTCGTGGAGGCCGAGGCTGCGATGGCCGCCTTGACCGCTGGCGCGGGGGGGGGGCCCAATCTGTACACGTGCGTGTGTTCATATACACATGCAGGCGTCTCTATCACTCGTTGCCTTGTTGCGCGAGCCCGTCTCTCGATACGTGTTTGTGTCTTGTGTCTACTCAGTACGCGTGCCGATGTTCGTCTCTGTGATTGACGCCCTCCTCCTCCTCCGCCGCCTCCTCCTCCTTCTCCTCCTCCTCCCTCCTCCGCCTCCTCCTCCGCCTCCTCCTCCTCCACGAAGACTTACCCCCTCCTCCCTTTCCTGTCCCCAGCCCCTCCAACCCTGGACTCCTCGTCGACGCCGTCGCCGAGCTCCGCGTTGGACGGACCGTGGGGCTCCTGGGGGCCGGGGAGCCTCTTGGTGGCGCACGCGAGGTCCAGGTGCGGCGTGTGGAACGCCCAGATCGCTGGGGCCCGCCGCTTGCTGACGAGCCAGCCACTGAGCATCCGGATCAGCGGGATGAGCCAGTTCAGCGGCTGGGCGAAGAGGATGAACGATGCGACGACGGCGGCGAACAGGAAGATGTTCCCTGCGTTCCGCATGACCCAGACGAACGAGGTCACGAACCCATTCTTCGGGTGACAGAGGGCCAACACGGCCATGACCAGCCTGAACACAAGATAGATGGCAATCAGGGCAGTCAGCAGCGGCCGCTTCCATGTCAGAACGTCGCTGATGAGGCGGAGCACGGGCAGGAGATTTGACTTCTTGCCAGAATCTAGCTGCCAACCGATCTTCCGAATATTCTGCTTGACCTTGCCAGAGAGCAGAACTTTTGGGACCTGCGGCATCACGGTGCGAACGTGCAATTCATCCTCGTAACAAATCTCGGCGGTTGTCTCCTCATGCTGTTCCAACTCGTCATAGTGAACTTCGATCCGCTTGCGATCAGTGCCCTGTTCTGGTGGGAAGACCTTGTCCACTGTCGCACGCCTCCTCTCGTGTATCCTCACCATGCTCCCCGGTTTGATCTTGGCCTCCTCGACGTTCTTGCCGCGGGGGGTGACCCAATCCATATCCTTCAGCACGCTTATCCGCCACCGTGACCCCTGGTATTAGGTCGGGCATGTCCCCCAACAGGCGGATCTTGGGCGAAAAACCAATCAACAAATGATTGACAAATGCACAGAAATATATAAAACCAAATCCCTAGACTTGTTTAAAACTATGTTTGAACATTCCTTCTGTAGAGGAACAAGCCCGACTTGACCCTGGTACGTCGAGGCGCGGTAGAATGCCAAGTGCTATCTGATACGGCTTCTGCCAGTCGTCCAAGGCCCCCCCTCCTCCCCCTCCTCGCGCCTGATTGCGTGCACTTCCCACCCTTTTGTAGGCGCCCTGGGCGGCCTGGCGCATCTCTGGGGCTCTTCGAGGTCTCCAAGACGGCCCAGGAAGGCCAACAATGCCGTAACGGCAGGAGGGGCCCAACAGCACCCGATGCGACCAACAAAAGCGCCAGATGGGAGAGACTTCCAAGACGACAACAAACAATGCCGCGAGGCCGTCCACTCAGAATCGAACTGGTAGAACACCGCAGAAAACACATAAATCCATCCGTGGGTTTTGAAGATTCCCTGAATAGAGAGCAGAAGCAACCACCCTCATGGTAATCATCCCGGCACGCGACGCTTTGCAGTAAACGCACGATCAGGGCAGGCCTGTTCAATAAACGCCCAAGGCCGTTTAGCAAACGCAAATTATCGGGACCCGGTGGTTTCTCCGCCCCTGACTGGACAAGTTGTCCGAAAATTGTCGGTGCGCGTTTTCCGAGAAACGAGCAGGTGGCCCGCCAGATCCAAAATCGGCCGAGCGAAAATGTCTGCCGTCGTCTCCCTCCCGTTGCCTCCCGTGGACTCCCGTTGCCTCCCGCTGCGTCCCTTTTGTCGCCCGTTCGCTCCCGTTGTCTCCCGCTGGCTTCCCATCCGTATTCATTATGTGTGTAGATGTAGATCTGTGTTAAGAAGCCGAGCTCTATACATCGACGCTTTTTCAGGCCCCGCACTGACATTCGCACAGGAAAGCGGATCCTAGTGTAAGGGAGAACGGGGAAATAGTGTACACCACACCACCCCGACGTCGTCCCCGACCATCGAAAAAAGTCCTGGGATTGAGAAGCAGCCCGCCACTGACAGTGTACATGCGCTCCAATTTCCGATGTGTGTGTGTGTGTGTCTGTCCCTCTCCTTATCTAGAGGCCTCCTGTATGGGATCCGAGTAGATGGGGTCGGAGGATCGCGCCGCATCGGCGGTGCATCGGCGATACATCGGCGATGCATCGGCGATGCATGGGCGATGCATCGGCGAAGTCGGCAGTGCATCGGCGATGCCGGCGTGGAGAAAATGGGGCTCTACATCGAGCCGCATCGCCGATGCATGGGAGATGCGGAGCGATCCTCCGACCCCATCTACTCCGACCCCATCTACGAGGCCTACAGTCAAACACCCTAATAAGGACGCGAGACTTTACTCAGGGTACCCTTGCGTCCTTGGGGTTTTCGTCGTCCGCCGCCCCAGAAATCCCAACTTCGGCTTCTAAGGGTCTTGCGTCCTTACCGCGCGTCCTTATTAGGGTTTTTGACTGTAGACTGTCCACGTCTCCCGATCCCTCAATCTCTACTGGTCCCCCCTCGCGGGCCCCCAACGTGGCCCTCCTTCGTGACCTCCCATCGTGGCTTCCACTGTACAGGGCAGTTGTTTAATACATAGGATTTTGTTTTACATATCGGATTTTAATACATGATTAAGGTATGAATATATTTATGCATGAGCTCATCGTTGTTTTTAATGCTGAACCCCTGCATGTTTGATACATGATCCGCACGCGGAGCATGTATTAAAAACGGCACTGTGAACTGCATGGAACAGTTCGGGAGTCTTCCGCCACGGAGGTGGAATGCTGAATTTGCAGGGCCTTCCCTGCTCACCAAGGCCGGGCCAGCGGCGATGTTGCTGAACGCTGATGCTTGCAACCGAGTTGCAGGGAATCACGAACTACACTTCCCTACATTGCCAATCTGCGAGTGGATCAAGCTAACACGACAGAACGAATGGTTGGAAAACGCGAGCCGCGCGTTCCCGCGCTACCGAAAGCTACATCGCCACTATGTATTACATCGCCGTTGGCCCTTCCACGGGCTAAAGACGATTCCAAGAGGGACTCGGAGGAGCCCAATAGAGGCCAAACGAGTGGCATGAGAACCGCAAAAAGCCCGCCAGAAGGTCAAGGACAGCCCCAAGCCGGCCCCAAGACAGCCCAAGAGGGGGTCCAGGGGCAGCCCAAGAGGCTCTCAGATAGCCTAAGGGGCCTCCAAGGCAGCCTCTAGTGCCAGACGGCACCAAGACGGCCTACCCCAAGACGCCTCAGGACAGTCCCAAAGATGGCCCCACAAGATCCCAAGACAACTCCAAGACCGCCCAGGTGCTTTTTCCGCAGCAACCTGCTGGCTGCATCTCGACGCGTGCCGCTGAGGAAGCGCGAGGCAGAACGAAGAAGCACGCTGGAGGAAAACGCGGACAAGGAAAAAAACTCAAGATGTTGTGAACGGAAGACCACATAGCAGCAACCAGGAGGGGGGGAATGGAGAGAGAGAGAGAGAGAGAGAGAGAAAGAGAAAGAGAAAGAGAAAGAGAGAGAGAGAGAGAGAAATACCTATATACATATATATAGAGAGAGAGAGAGAGAGAGCGAGAGAGAGAGAGAGGGAAAACGAGAGAGAGAGAGAGGGATAAAAAAGAAAGAACGAGAGAGAGACAGAGACAGAGAGAGAGAGAACGAGAGAGAGAGAGCGGAGAGGAGGGGGCGAAGGAGGGGAGCTGGCAGCAGCGAGGTACTATCCAACGACCGTTCGTAGCAAGAAACTCGTAGACAGCCAGGGACGAGAGGTGCCACATGTTACGACACTCTAGGCGGTGCTCCAAGCGTCGCTACATAGAATGCTGCGCTGGTATGGTGGCGGGACTTGCCTTAGGCAGCTGAATCACATCTTGAAGTGTGAAGGACGATATGCCCTTCCTGAACCCCCTCGTAACGAAATCACGGAGTTCCCGTTCGGACTCAACCTCGCCACCCTTGTGTATAACAACGCGTAAGAGGAACGCTTCCATTTGAAGGATGCTATTCCAGCCAGCTACGATCTCAAATCCTTTATTGTTCAGAGGTGCGTTCAGCCCTGACGTCGTCATTTTCTGTCGTTGCACTCCGAAGCCGTTTAGCAACAAAAGTACTGTGGCGATGGCCCAGAGACATGCGTATATGAGGCTTTGCTTCCAGGCAGCTACGCAAAGGGCTAGACTTATCAGACCTGATAGTGTCTTGCTCTGCCAACTCAGCAGATACCATATATAGCTAGCAAAACATAGTACACAATCGTCAACGACTGCGTATTTGATGTCCATTGCATCGTCGAACATCTCCTGAAAATCGAGCTCGGGGAGATGCTCCTCATGAATGACTTTATTGAACCACGCGAATGGGGGCTGAATGGCATGCGAAAAAATCACGTCGCTGCCGTATGGTGCGACGCGTACCAACTTCATCTTGACGAACAACTCGCCTGCGTTGAACTGAAGGTCCGACTCCGACACTTCTTTATGCCCTGCCGCACCGTGATGTAAGACTCTATCTCTGACGTTATGTATCCAACCCAGGTGTTCAACTGTATGGCGTTTCTTCATCGTCGCCAACTGGTTGTGCTCTTCTGTGAAGGTTGCCGATGCACTTCCATCCGGCGCAACTCCTTGTGAATTCCTACGAGCATACAGATCCCGGTGAGTCACGTCCTCGCGTTGGCTGCAATGCTGCTGACCCGCTAGCCCGCTGACGGGGCCATCAGGCTGCGAGGCTCAAGCTTGCTGCTCCCTGCTCCAGTTGCAGGTTCCAATTCCCATTGTGATGGTTTCACTTTCTGCCCCCTACTGCAAATTGTTACTGTCCGCGCGAGGGGGGGAGCCCCAAACCGCCCGGTTACCACGCCCGAGTCACATCTCAGGATGCCTGGGGGGGCATGGGACACGTAGAAATACATGAGATTCGCGCCCACGAGGCCGTACTCCTTCGTAAACTACTTTATGTTCGCATCCCCGGGGCCACACACCGTCGTAACACAAAACTCGTGCGTCCCCGAGGCAACAAACCAACATAAAATAGACCATATTCGCATCACCGAAGCCATCAACCTTTGCGAACTAAGTACGCCCTATTTTCATTGTCGAGGCCAAGAGGTGTTCCAAGGCGCCCGAAGCTGGTTCCAAGACGGCCCAAAAAGGGCTCACAGAGGCCCCAAAAGCGCTTCAAGAGGCCTCCCGAGAAAGCCCCAAGAGGTCAACATCCGAAATTTCCTCAAAGTGTTGAAGGATTTGAGCCTTCTCGCATGTCCACCTTTCCGACCCTCCAAGACGGCCCAAGAAGCCCCCAAGACCGGACCAAGGCAGCCCAAGACGCCTCCACGAGGGCCCCAAGGCGGCCCAAGAGGGCTCCAAGATGGTCCAAGAAACGCTCAAGACGGCCCGAGAGGGCTCCAAGATGGCCCCAAGAGGGGCCCAAGCAGGAGACCACGAATCGAACATTCGATATGTGTGCCCCGAGAAGCCCCCAGGAGCCCCACGAGGCCGCCAAGAGTCCCCAAGAGGCCCCAAGAGGCCCCAAGAGGCGCCCAAGACACACCCAAGAGGCCTCCAAGAGGCCCACAAGATACCCCACGAGGCCCCCAAAAGTCCCCAAGAGGCGCCCAAACCACCTCTAAGAGGCCCTCGTGGGGCTCCCCACGACACCACAACACATGTGCAGGAGGCCTCAGACCCACAACTCAGGCACCGTGGCGGGATGGGCTGAAGGTGACTACCTGACAGACCATCCCAACCCAACCCGAAGCCCCGAATTTCGGGTTTGGGGGGGAAGGGTTCCACGCGTGTTTTCTCGATGTTTCCCGACCCCCCCCTACTAGAAATCGACGGTAAATCTGAGCCTTCGGGTTGGGTTGGGGTGGCTTGGTGGGTGGCGAGAAGGCCGCTGGGATCCGCCGCCCCCTGCTGATGTGTTACAGGGGGCGCCCACCGCGCCGGACTTTTTTATGATTTGGTATTGTGAAGGGGCCCCAGGACACACACAAATAAATACACACAAATAAACATATTCCCTATATTTTCCCATATGTTCTGGGTTTTTGTCTTCCCCTTCATTTCCCATATTTTCCACATTTTCTGGGGAATCGACGATTCATTGTGTCTGTGTGTTTCTTTTCCTCCTGATATTGCTTGTTGTCCCAAAAAACTCCCCCGTGGGGTTCGGTCCGCCCCGCCGGCTATCGGGAAGGGACCGCCAGGCGCGGAATTCGCCGAGCAAAAACACCCTGGATGGCTACGATGGCCCAAGATGGCCTCCCAAAAGCCGCCGACACGGCCAAGAGGCCCTCCAAGACTGCCAAAATAGCCCCAAGATGCCTCCAAAACGTCCCAGGATGTACCCAAAACGGTCTAAGATAGCCTCAAGATGGCCCGCGATGGCTCAAGGGGCTCTCGAGAGGCCCCCACGACGGCCACAGAGGCCTCCAACAGGTCCTCCAGGAAGGCTCGAAGCTAAATCATTGATTTGCCTTAGGTGTTTGACAGATGACGGGAAGCGTCTTCGAGGTACGAGAAGCGAGGTGGATGTTGTAGCTGAATCTGCAAATTATGGGACACGGTGTTAATAATAGGGGGTGGCGGGTTGCGCGGGGGACAAGTTTAGCGGATGGTGGGAAGCGCGCTAAGACTCGAAGAATGGCGCAATGTACGTTAGTTTCGGCCCGGAGGGGGAATGCTTCAACTGGAGAAGAACACGACAGGGCTCGGGATTACTCCGTGATGGCGGCCTGGCGGATGGCGGGAAGCGCGCCAAGGCTCGAATAATCGCGCGACGGACGTTGGTTCGGACCGGGGGGGGACATATTTCAAGTGCGAAGGTGCAGGAGGGGTAAGGTTCGGGGGACCTCCGTGATTAGACCCTGGCGGATGACGGGAAGCGCGCTCAGACTCGAAGCGTCGCGCCATGGACGCTCGATTCGACCCGGAAGAACATATTATCAACTGGGGGGACTCTGGGGGGGGAGATATTTGGGGCACCTCCTTTACTCGACCCCGGCGGAATAACCAAAATGGCGACTTCGCTTGAGACTTCCGCGCAACATGGAAACGTCGGAAGATCTATTGTTAGGCGCTGTAAATTAAACATGAAGCCATCGCTGCAGACATCCCCGGAAAATGGAGATACTGAAATCTCTCGCGAAGTTCGCCGATCTCCAAAATTGGCGTTCTGGTTGAGACACGCTTGGACAATAAAGATGCCGAAACAGCTGCGGTTAAACATGTCATGTAAAAAATGTAGCTTCCGCCCGACACATCTTTTTAATCCGCCAAAGAGGCCCCGGGGCACGCGAATTCGTCGTATTTTCAAAAATGATGCTCGCGCCTGTGACATCCTCCAACAAGTGCGATGTGCAATAAGCTGTATTACGACATATGTTGGAGGCATTCTTTGGAGTACCCCCAAGACGGCCCACGAGGGAACATCTTTGGGGGAACATTGTGTTGTCTTCCAACATTTCGCTCAAAAGTATATGCTTCGCTCGACACATCATCAGAATTTGAATCGTCGTCGTCGTTGTCGTCGTCGTTGCCAGTGGTCATCGTCGTCGTCAGTGGATTCGTCCTCTTCCTCGTCATTGTCGTCGTCGTCGCTGTCGTGGTGATCGTCACCGTCGTCGTCATCATCGCCGTCGTCGTCGCCGCCGTCGTCGTCATCGTGTATGCACCAGCGGGAAGCGCGTCTCGTCTGAACTCGCGCGGGAAGTAAACTCGACCTGACATAAGGGAACGCGGTCTGGAAACGGGAAACGCCGAGATGTGCCTGCGGAGTGCGCGCCATGCCTGAACTCGCGCGGAAAGTCAACTCGACCTGACACAGGGGAACGCGAGTGGTAAAATAAGGGGGTCTGGATACGGATCGCGCCTAGATGCGCCGGTGGGAGGCGCGCCTCTTCTGGACCCGCGCGGGGAACAAACTCGACCTGACATAAGGGAACCCGGGTGGGGAGATGAGGTCTGGAGGCGGATCGTGCCGAGATGCGATAGCATTGTGTCGTGCTGATGTTGCACGTTCTTGCAAGCCTCGTCGTCTTCGCGCGCTTCCCGCTCACGTCAAGAAAAGCGGCGTCGAATTGCGATCTCGACTGGGACATCCTCACAAAATGGAGATTCAAGAAGGTCTATTCTAAGGCGCTTCACAATGAAACTGAAGCTCTCGCTGCAAACATCCTCGAAACACCGAAATTTTGAAATTTCTGGCGAAATCCGCCGATCTCCGGATATGGGCGCTCCGCCTGAAACATTCTTGAATAGGCGCCGGCAAAGCTGCGATTATACTTTTCATGTTCGAAGTGTAGCTTTCGCCCGAGATATCCTCGAACAGCGGAAATGTCCAGGGAACGTGCAAATTCTGCGTAGTCTCAAAAATGAGGCCCCCGCCTGGGGCACCCTCCAAACAATGCGATGTGCCAGAAGCTGTATTACGACATATCTGCGAGGCATTCTTTCCAGGACCCCCCACGACGGCCCAATAGGAACACCTTTTCTTTATACGAGACTGGTTACAATCATGTCCTTCAACCGTACTCGCTTCGCTCGGTAAATCATCAACATTTGCATCATTGTCGTCGTTATTGTCGTCGTCGTTGTTGCCACTGTCATCGTCATCGTCGGTGTCGTCGCCCTTTTCCTCGTCATTGTCGTCGTCGCCGCTGTCGACGTCATCGTCACCGTCGTCGTCAGCATCGCCGTCGTCGTCGCCGTCGCCATCGCCGTCGTCATCGTATTTGCGCCAGCGGGAGGTGCGCCTCGTCTGAACTCGCGCGGAAAGTAAACTCGACCTGACATAAGGGAGCACGGTTTGGAAACGGGAAATGCCGAGGTGTGCCAGCGGGGGGCGCGCCTCGTCTGAACTCGCGCGGGCAGTCAACTCAACCTGACACTGGAGGCGCGAATGGTAAGATAGGGGGTCTAAAGACGGAAAGTGCCTAGATGCGCCAATGGGAGGTGCGCCTCTTCTGGATTAGCGCGGAGATTACACCCGACCTGACAGGCGGGAAACTCGAGTGGGGAAGTGGGGTCTGGAGACGGATCATACCGAGAAAAGGTTGAATTGTATCGTGATGGTGTTGCACGCTCTTGCAAAGCTCATCGTTTTCACGCGCCCCCCGTTCACGCCAAGAAAAGGCTACCTCGAATTGGAAGTTCGCCTGGGGCTGCCTCACAACATGGATATCTCGGAAGATCTATTCTAGGGCGCCCCATGCTAGAAGTGCAGATATCGCTGCAGACGCTCTCGAACAAAGGGAATTTGGAATTTTCCAGTGGAATTCGCCTGTCTCCAAAAATGGGCAATCCGCCTGAAACATCCTGCGATCGATGCTGCAAAAACTGCGATTACAACTGTCATATTACACACGTAGCCCTCGCCCAATGCATCCTCGAAAATCGGAGCCCCAGGGAACGAGCGATTTCGTCGATGCTCAACAATGAGTCTCACGCCAGAGACATCTACCAAACACTGCGATGTTTAAAGCGCTGTCTTACGACGCATGTTGGAGGCATTCTTTGGAGGGCCCCAAAATCGACCCAAGAAGGAAAATTTCTTGAACCAGGAAGCATTCAAGATTATGCGCTTCGCTTGGTACATCATCAGAACTTGCGTCGTCGTCGTCGTTGTCGTCGTCTTCGTCGCTGTTATCGTCGTCATCGTCGGCGTCGTCGTCCCCTTCCTCGTCGTT